CAAAGTTGGCCATGAATCTATTATCTGTACATCAGTTAGCCAGAGATTTTCACTGTGCGGTTGTATTCTTATCTGATTCGTGTTATTTGCAGGACCTGAGTACCAGGAGGATTATTATCAAGGGACATGAGAAAGATGGACTGTATTATCTTGGCAATCCATCTCCAGTTTCACCAATTCCTTCACCTGCACCTGCTTTGTCTTTTTCTGTTCCTAGCTTGCATGCTAGTATTTTACCTAGTAGTTGTCGTTATGATTTTTCGTCACAAACTGTTCAATTGTGGCATGACCGTTTTGGACATACAAATTTTAAATATTTATGTATGTTGTTTCCTGCTTTGAGTAATGCTTGTGTTGGTGGTAAACTTGATTGCGTTATCTGTTCCCTATCAAAACATGTTAGGGCCAATTATATTCCTCGCATGCACCAGTCACCCAAGCCATTTGACCTAATACACTCTGATATTTGGGGACCCTCTCCCGTTACTGCTCTGTCAGGTGCCAGATATTATGTGACATTTATAGATGATCATACCCGTTGTACTTGGGTCTACCTTTTGCATAGGAAGTCTGATGTGCTCCCTATAATCACTCAGTTTTTACAGATGATTAAGACACAATTCGATGTCATTGTTCGTGCTCTTCGTTCGGATAATGCCAAAGAATATGTGTCTGATGCTTTAGTGTCTCACCTTTCTTCTCAGGGTATCCTTCAGCAACTCACTTGTCCATATACTCCTGAGCAAAATGGTGTTGCTGAGAGGAAAAATAGGAGTTTGATAGGGATGGTACGTTGTCTGCTTAGAGGCATGAGGGTACCAAAATCTTATTGGCATTTTGCTGTTTTGACTTCTACCTTTCTGTGCAATCGTACGCCGAGTCGTGTTCTTCAGCATAAGGCTCCCTTACAGGTCTTATTTCCTGAGCGGACACTTTTTCCGGTCCCCCCTCGTGTTTTTGGATGCACATGTTTTGTTCAGGATCGGTCTCCTACTCGTCATAAACTTGATGATAAAGCGATTCGTTGTATCTTTGTGGGCTATTGTCATCAATCTAAGGGGTATCGATGTTATGATCCTATTAGGCGTCGTATGTATCACAGTCTAGATGTTACCTTTCTTGAGCATATTCCTTATTTTCCTTTCAGTCCTTTGTCTGCCCCTCCAGTTGATGATACTCCCTTTGATTTTCCATTACCACAAGAGTCAGAGTCATTGATCACTATCCCTACAGGGTCATCCGTTTTTCCTCCCAAGGAGTCACTCATCCCTGTCAGTACAGAGTTACCAGTCTCTCTTCCTTTGCAGGTGTATGCTCGTTGTCCTCGCTCTCATCACCCTGCTGATATCCCCTCTACCTCAGGCGATGCAGGTAATACTTCTCAGTTTGTTGAGCATATTGATGCACCTGTTGTTAGTACTGATGAGATTACAGGTGCTGAGCCAGTTACTTTACCTGATAAGATATTATCAGTAGAGGATGGTGATTTAGGGCGTCGTTATCCAAGGCGTGATCGCCGTCCAGTTGATCGATATGGTTGGACCGCCAAGATTTTATATCCGATCTCTGCTTATGTTTCTTATGGTAATCTGTCTCCCACATTTCGAGCTTATACTATGGCCTTATCAGATACGCTGGTTCCTCGCTCTATTTCGGAAGCTATGCGGGAGCCCCAGTGGGTTCTTGCCATGCAGACAGAGATGGACGCTCTTCAGCGTAATCATACATGGGATCTTGTCTCCTTACCTTCAGGGGTGAAGCCTGTTGGCTGTCGCTGGGTTTACACCCTGAAGTTTCTGGCAGATGGTACTATTGATCGTTACAAGGCTAGACTTGTGGCGAAGGGCTTTACTCAGGTACCAGGTCGTGACTTTGGTGCTACATTTGCCCCCGTGGCAAAATTGACTACTGTTCGGTTAATTATTTCTCTGGCTGCGGAGTACTCTTGGCCTCTTCATCAATTAGATGTGAAGAATGCGTTTCTTCACGGTGATCTGGACGAGATTATTTATATGGATGCACCACCGGGCTTTCGTGGTGAGGGGGAGTATGCTGGAAAGGTATGTCGACTGCGTAAGTCTCTTTATGGACTGAAACAGTCGCCACGAGCCTGGTTCTCTCGCTTCAGTGATGTAGTCATACGATTGGGGTTCACCAGGTGTCATTCTGATCATACCTGCTTTATTCGACGGAATACTTCTGGACAGTGTGTCATCCTTCTGGTATATGTTGATGATATTATTATTACTGGTGATGATGTTTCTGGGACTGCGCAGGTCAAGATAGACCTTGGGAAGGCCTTCGATGTGAAGGATCTTGGATTTCTGCGATACTTTCTTGGGATTGAGGTTGCCCGTAGAAGCAGAGGTATTGTTCTTTCTCAGAGAAAGTATGTTTTGGATCTTCTTTCAGACACTGGGATGTTGGGGTGCAAACCGGCATCATCACCTATGATTCCAAACCTGAAGCTTACTGCTGAAGGTGAGGAGTTGAAAGATCCGACAGTTTATCAAAGATTGGTAGGTAGACTTATCTACTTAGCCAATACTAGGCCGGACATTTCATTCGCAGTCAGCCGAGTTAGTCAGTTCATGCATAGGCCATGTCAGCCTCATCTTGATGCAGTTTATCATATTCTTCGGTACCTCAAGTCTTGTCCTGGACTTGGGTTGTTTTATGCATCAGGATCTCAGACCGGTTCTCTAGCCTGTTATTCAGATTCAGATTATGGGGGAGCATGTGATGGTCGATCTACTACGGGTTTCTGTGCTTTTCGAGGGACTCATCTTATCTCTTGGAAGAGCAAGAAGCAGGCAGTTGTCTCCCGCTCGTCCGCAGAGGCAGAGTATCGGGCATTGGCACTTGGCACATGTGAGATTATCTGGCTACGATCGATTCTTGACGAGTTGGGTTTTTCAGTGACCTCTCCATCCACATTATATTGTGATAATCAATCTGCTATTCAGCTCGCTTCTGACTCTGTACTACATGAGAGAACGAAGCATATAGAGATCGATGTTCACTTTCTTCGGGAGAAGGTCAGCAGTGGTCTTGTTACTCCATCGTTTGTGGGGACCAGTGATCAAGTTGCGGATGTTTTTACCAAACCTGTCACTCTGCCTATTCTTCGGGACTCCGTTGTCAAGCTTGGCTTAGTTGACATTTTTGCGCCTAGCTTGAGGGGGAGTGTTGGAGTATAGATAGTAGTCTAGGTTTATTAGGATTCCTTTTCTCTTTTTTACCCTTACTATGATTTTTATATTTTGCCTAAACTACAAGGATGTTTAAGTCACTCTGTATTATTTTTGGCTATATATACGGGACTCTACTTTGAGTTTGAGTATCCCTTTCACATATTCCAAGTGGTTTCTTATGAAATCTTTCAATCTTTAGAGCATATTGATAGGCTGCAACTAGCGTATTAAAGGTGTATTACTTGACCTCTTACTAATTTTGTGTCTCAACCCAAGAATAAACTGATCAATTGTCCAATATTTTTCACCAATGTCACACAAGTACATGAGATAATCAAACTGGACAAAGTAATCACAGACACCAGAAGAATGTTGTCTAAGATTGAGTCATTGGTCATAAACTTGATCCATGTAGGAAGTAGGCAAATACTTCTCTTTCAATTTATATCTCATTTCAACCCAAGTGATCGGTAATTCTCCTAAGGGGTCTATGCTTCTTTGGATTGTTTGCCAATGCTTATTGGCAGAATCCTCCAACATCAATTTAGCAAAACGGACGCAATGAGAATCTGACATGCCATGCCAATTAAAATATTTTTCTAAATTAGCTAACTAATCTAAGAATTCAAAAGGATCTAAAGTGCTACTAAATATAGAAGGATCTTTGACTTGTTTGGTCATATGGGTTGACTCCATGTAAACATTCTTAAACTTCCTATAATGATGACATTGAGGAGAGATTTTTGAAACATGCGCATTAGAGAAATTCATGAGTGACTCTTGGAACAAGGGAATGGCGCCAAAACAAGTTCAAGAATGTAATTGACAAATGATTTGGATCATTTGCAAATTTTTTTAATCTTTCAATGAATAAAAAATCAGTTTCAAATTTCTATAGGAGTATGCATACCATAATCAGGAGGAAATTTTGAAACTTTTTGGGGATGATTATGTAATTTTATGGATCTGTTGGGAATATTTTTAGTAATTTTAGAACTTTTGGGGGAAAGATTTTACAACTTTTAAAAATTTCTGGGGTGTTTTTATAATTTTTGAAGACCTCTTGGGATGTGTCGGCAATTTTTGGGACTTCTGGGTGATGTTTTTGTAATTTGTTGAATCTATCGGGGATGTTCTGTTTCTTTTTTCCACTGGACAGTGGGATTTTTCTTACGATGAATAGTGCACGTGAACAGTGCGCACAAAACAACGCTTGAACAGTGCACAGTGCACATGAACAGTAATTTTGATGAACAATTTTTTCCCTCCGATGAACAATGTTGTTGAGATTTTTTTGTGATTTGTACGAATCGAAGTTGGGCTCTAATACCAATTGATGTAGATCATATTAGTTCTAATACCAAATTGATGTAGATCATAATAAAGAAGAATTAGAGATGAGAAGAGAAGAGAAGAAGAAAGGGATGAGAGAAGAAAGAAAATTTGAGCAAGAAGGATGCAATATCAATAATAATAATAATCAAAGTCTAATCTCTCAACAAATATGTATTCCCTATATATATAAGGAGTTCACAAATCCTATATATATAAGGAGATCACAAACCTTAAAATAAATAAATAATTAAAATGACAACTAAACTCTTAAAAGTTAAAAGAAAATACTTAAAAGATAAATGCTAAATTACTCTCATGATTAATCTAAAATATCTATCCAATTCCTATACGATTCCCATCAATATGCTTGGAATTTTATAAGAGCAAAAGCATGAAGACTTTCAGAATTGATTTCTAAAAGGCTTGGAATTTGGTCATGCTTAAAACTGGAGGACAAAACTATGAGGAGGAATGCAGTTAAAGGAATTGTCTCTTTTATTGCTCTACAAGGAACCTATCAATGAACTAAATGTGCATAAATGTTTCTGCTTTCAAATAAACCAAGACAAAGCAGTGATTAAATGTTGGAATTCCTAAGTTTTGAGGTGTTTTGGTATATTTTGATCCATGTTTTGGAATATTTGGTGTGGCACATATGTTTAGTTCATTAGTTTATTATTTTTGTTGTGTATAGTATGATTCAATCCATAAATCATAGAATTGTAATGACATTGAACACCACAATACACATATTAATAAAACGTCTTTATGGAATGCTCCACCAAGGTAATAGGTGAAAATATAGGCATGCCATTTTGTGGGAATGCAAAGTTTTGGTTTTTCTTTCATATCCTTTTGGACTTTTAAGTGCATACTGATTATGTTTCCTGATACCAATATGACTTGATCCTTCAAGTCTCTGTGTTGTGTGTTTGTGTGTTGTGTGGTGTTTTTCTTGTTTATGTTTTTGGTCTTGGATCAGGTGTAAACGAAGTGGAAATAGCTGCAGATTGAGATGGCTTAACTATCTCAGGCCCAGCATTAGGCATGGTGAGTTTTCTGAGGAAGAAGATAGGATAGTCTGCACCTTCTATGCTAGCATTGGCAGCAGGTACTCCAATTTCTCTGCTACTGAAAATCTTTTCAATTTTTTTTTCTGGTTTTGAGGCATATTCTTTGACCCTATTGATTAGAGTTTATTGTAGTTCTACCATCCTTTCTGATTTGACCTAATTTTTTTTGTCCTATTTTCCTTTAACTGAAGAAAACAAGTTATGTTTAAATGACATAATTCTTCGTTGCAATTCACAATTATAAAAGTGCGCACATAACTTCTATTGCAGGTTGCGTTAACAGGTGTGGAAATGTGGGTGATACTGATGTGGAAATATCAGGAAGAACGGCATTTAGGGTGAGATTATTCTGTCCTCTGTTTTCACTCTCAATAATGCACATCCATTCAAATCCTCCTCATGCCTTCTTTAATTGCTTGTCCTTTTGTTATGAACATTGAAGAGATATATTTCTCTGTTATGGTTTATCACTATGAAAAACTACATGAGACATGAACACTTCTATCTGTTTTAAGTATCAATTATGCATGCTGGGAGATTCAATCATAATCAAAGTCAATTCTCAACCATCAGCTTTTCCCCAAATATTTTTAGCGTCAGGCTTGCTGTGGCGAAGGTGGTGATGAAAATGTTTTATTTTCTTCTTATCTCTGTATATGCCTGGATAAGTCCATGCCTGTTTGTGTTCTAATGTTTTCCTTATCTTCTGACTTTTTGGTGATTATCCAGAGTTGAAGTCAGAGACAAAAAAAAAAAAAGNATAGTATGATTCAATCCATAAATCATAGAATTGTAATGACATTGAACACCACAATACACATATTAATAAAACGTCTTTATGGAATGCTCCACCAAGGTAATAGGTGAAAATATAGGCATGCCATTTTGTGGGAATGCAAAGTTTTGGTTTTTCTTTCATATCCTTTTGGACTTTTAAGTGCATACTGATTATGTTTCCTGATACCAATATGACTTGATCCTTCAAGTCTCTGTGTTGTGTGTTTGTGTGTTGTGTGGTGTTTTTCTTGTTTATGTTTTTGGTCTTGGATCAGGTGTAAACGAAGTGGAAATAGCTGCAGATTGAGATGGCTTAACTATCTCAGGCCCAGCATTAGGCATGGTGAGTTTTCTGAGGAAGAAGATAGGATAGTCTGCACCTTCTATGCTAGCATTGGCAGCAGGTACTCCAATTTCTCTGCTACTGAAAATCTTTTCAATTTTTTTTTCTGGTTTTGAGGCATATTCTTTGACCCTATTGATTAGAGTTTATTGTAGTTCTACCATCCTTTCTGATTTGACCTAATTTTTTTTGTCCTATTTTCCTTTAACTGAAGAAAACAAGTTATGTTTAAATGACATAATTCTTCGTTGCAATTCACAATTATAAAAGTGCGCACATAACTTCTATTGCAGGTTGCGTTAACAGGTGTGGAAATGTGGGTGATACTGATGTGGAAATATCAGGAAGAACGGCATTTAGGGTGAGATTATTCTGTCCTCTGTTTTCACTCTCAATAATGCACATCCATTCAAATCCTCCTCATGCCTTCTTTAATTGCTTGTCCTTTTGTTATGAACATTGAAGAGATATATTTCTCTGTTATGGTTTATCACTATGAAAAACTACATGAGACATGAACACTTCTATCTGTTTTAAGTATCAATTATGCATGCTGGGAGATTCAATCATAATCAAAGTCAATTCTCAACCATCAGCTTTTCCCCAAATATTTTTAGCGTCAGGCTTGCTGTGGCGAAGGTGGTGATGAAAATGTTTTATTTTCTTCTTATCTCTGTATATGCCTGGATAAGTCCATGCCTGTTTGTGTTCTAATGTTTTCCTTATCTTCTGACTTTTTGGTGATTATCCAGAGTTGAAGTCAGAGACAAAAAAAAAAAAAGACAAAAAGGCCTGACTAGAGGATCTAACTTGCATAACAAAAATTGGAATGCTTGAGGAGCTCCTTTAAAATGTATCCACTCACTGACTTGCATGCCCATGGTCATTCTCTTTAAAAAAAGAGGGCAGGCTACTAACCAAGTATCTTATAGCTGAAAAAGATGGAACTGTACGAGGCATTTGGTAATTTCTTTGTAGATGGGAAAATGGCCTGGATTCACAGCTCCTGCTTGTTCTCTATAGGTTTTTTTGAATGTTCCTTTGGCAGGAGAGGTGAAGAACACTCATTTATTCTCAAACCGGCAACTTCAGTGTGGAAGAGTCCTAAGTGCCATGGTGGAAGAAGTTCGCAGTCATCTCATTTAGAGGCTGGAAGTGCAGCATCAAGTTTGCGTTTCACCTATACATTTATTTACTTAACTCTTTTGTTAATAAATGCTGCCCCTAGGGAAAAAGAAATCTAAGGTTCCCAACTTTGAAGATCTTTAGGAATTTTGGGGGATTGTCTCTCTCTTTATCTCCATTATAAAAATATCCCCTAAAAATCCTCAAAGATTGCAGATTTTTTGAGGATTTTGGTCTCTCTTTGCCCTGAATTTTAGTACTTGTCATACAGGTTCCAGTGCAAACCATCCAACTTGTGGCCAGCCACCAGACGATGCTATCTAGTCACTCGCATGACAGCAGTTTGTTTCAGTAATTGTTTAATAAATAGTAAACTCTTGATTGTTTCGTAATGCCCATTTTTAGTTTTTAGCTGTGCTGGCATTTGCCGGATCATTGTCAATTTCCGCAGCAGTACTATGAATATGTGGACCACTTTTGGCTTCCCGATGAAGTTTTTTCTTACTGTTTTGTAACATATAATATAATGAAAATGTGGTTAAATATAGATATTTCTTTGAATGCATGTTTAATGTTTGGTGGATCTTGTGGATTGTTTTTTGTGTGGATTTGAATAGGGTTGTAGGTAATTTGGTGGATTTGAATTAGGTTGCCGAATATACTCATGATTTTGTTGCCCATGCTTTATTATTGATCTAATCTTGCCCAGGTTTATCGAACAAAGCTGCATTATGCAAAATACACATTGGGAAACCAAAAAAAATATAAAATTAAAAATCCAGGCGCCGGCAAATATGGTACATATTGTTATTTACTGGTGTTTAAGTAAACGCCTTTACTTTTGCCAACGGCAATATAGCCGGACATTTGGGTAAAACGCCGAGCAAACATAGTGAACTAGTTTTGCTAACGCCGGCAATACCGAAAGTTCCTGAAGTGTAGTTTTAGGTCCAAGATCTCAGGCTCTAATTGATGTCTAAAGAAAAATTGGGACTGCAAATGTGAAAATTAAAGATTTCGAATATTCAATTATATGCCAAGTAAACAGAAAATGCCTTAAGTTGTCCGATTCACAAATGACTCCACATTTGAATTCTCCAAATCAAGTCAGTTTTGTCTTACAAGAAATAAAAATTGGTCTCTACATTTTAGGACATTCCAAAAATTGGCATCTGTTTTGATTCCACCAGAGAAACTGTTGCTTGCCCAATTATTTTGTCTTTCTTAACCCAATGCTGATGGGGCTAGAGAGGTCTTCCTCATTCATATATTCTTTTTTGAGGAGTTATACTCTACAAATATGATTTCAGTGTTTAATAAGCAATACCACAGAAACAACGCATTTCCTTGCGCTTAGAAGTTATTTACTCCCAAAATGAAGGTTGGCATAATTTCAAGAGAGCTTACCAAACCATCCTCTCCTACCCCATCTGAACTTAGAGACTTCAAGCTCTCTTTTATAGATGAGTGCATACCTCCTACCTATGTCCCTCTAATTCTATATTATTCCTATGATGAAAATAGCAATATCAAGCAATCCGAGATGTCGAACCGGCTAAAAGAATCATTGTCAAAGGTCCTAATGCAGTTTTACCCTTTGGCTGGAAGGATGAAAAGCCAAATAGCAATTGATTGTAATGATGAAGGGGTTTACTACATCGAAGCACGAGTTGAGGCCCATCTTTCAGACGTCATGGGGTGTCAAGAAACAAAAATATTGGACCAATTCATCCCATATAATGGCAAAACTGCAAGTGTTGAAGAACAACTAGCCATTCAAGTTAGCCTGCTTAACTGTGGGGGCATAGTGATTGGAATCTGTATTTCACACAATTGCTGATGCATCTAGCCTATGCACATTCATCAACGCTTGGGCCTCCATGGCGAGTGGGGAAAGCAATAAGGAACGTCCAATCTTTAACTCATCGTCTTTGTTCCCACCAAGAGGCTCACCGGACTCCTGGGTGGGCACGAGAAATCCGGCAATCCAGCACCCGGTGCAAAAATTTGTTGCTAAAAGGTTCGATTTCACTGCCACAGCAATAGCTGCATTGAAGGCTCAAGTGGAAATTAGCTCTATCAAGCTACAACCTACGCGCCTGGAGGTGGTATCGGCACTGCTATGGAAGTGTTGCATGGCTGCTATAGGGAACAAAAACAGTACCACATCGGTGGCGTGTCTTCCGGTGAATTTGAGGAGGAGGATGGTCCCGTCACTTCCGGATAATTCTTTTGGCAATATCTTTGCGATGGCAAACACAGTTACAAGAGGCGAAACAGATTTTGCTAGCTTGGTCGGTAAGTTGAGGGGTGCATTTAGAAAAATAGATGATTACTAGATGATTATACGAGGAAACTACAAGGCGAAAACAGGTTTGAAATTGTCAAGAACAATTTTATGGAGACAGGTAAACTAATTTCCCAGGAGGGTGTGGAGGTATTTAAGATTAGCAGTTGGTGTAGGTTTCCAATCTATGAAGTTGATTTTGGTTGGGGAAAGCCCACCTGGGTGACTACTGCTAGCTCTTCCCGTGGTAATTGCATTTTTCTGTTGGATTCAAGAAGTGCTGGTGGAGTAGAGGCATGGGTGATCTTGGTTGAGGAAGCTATGGAAAAGCTTGAGCAGGATGTGGAGCTCCAAGCCTTCACTACACCATCTTGCAAGTGATTAAATATGCATTGATCATCAATTCTTATCAAAGGCGACGATTAATTTCACATGCCTTCTCTATTCTGCATCTCATTCAAGTTTTTCTCCACCAATGTCTATGTTCTTTCTACTTTCCACATAGCATGATATGTTATTTTGAGTTTTTGACCGTACCCATGCGCCTCCAAACTTAAATTTACTTAAATAAATCAGTCATTTTTTAACTTATTTTCATAAATCAGTGAATTTTAAACTTATTTTTCAAATTTAGTCACTTTTTGAAAACATCATTTCAAATGACGCATTCAAAATGTCCTTTGTAATGACATTTCTAAGTATAAATAAACTGATGTAAAATGTACATTAAAGCATAAAGACATCATTTAGAATGAAACTTTTAAAATCGTCACTTCAAATGACGTCTTTAAAGGTGTCACTACAAATGATGTTTTCAATTGTTGTTCCGCGTCAAGTAATTAAAAAGTTTATATGTCTTCTTCAATTTTAGTTTTAAGGAAAATAATATTTTTTGTATACCAAAACAGTGCTATTAGTTCATGCCTTGATATGATCATATATCCATGTTTTGTCCATCACATATTTCCATGTTTTGACAATCGAAACAGTGAAATAAATTTTACAAACATGGTGCACCAAATGGTAATAACGTGTTATTTTGTAATAATTATTCTAACAAAAAATGCTACTGATGCATAAAAAAATAAAAATAAAAATAATTTATTTCATTATGCTACGTAAAATACAGTCTTTTAATAATGTGGTTAATGTTCATAAGAACATTGAGGTTTACCACATACACATAAATTTGTTGAAACAAAATTTTCAAAGTCAACGCCACTTGAATATAAAAAAACTAGAAAGTTCAGAATCAAAAACAAGTAATAGATTCTCAAAAATTTTAATAATGACATAGTCAGAATCGAAATGATTAATGTTTTCATACTCGATTACATGCAAATGATCAAGTCGACATTGCATCTAATTATTTTCACGTTCAAACCTTGGTATAATCTCATCATGGTTGTTTGAGTTCCATGGACGGTATATAACAGTCAAACGTGCATTTGGTACCGAAAGTCTATGCCAATAATAATATATTTCAAGCTCACAAAATTTGTCATATAACTCTCACCACCTTAGGGTGAGCTCGATACAAGCACCCAAAGGTGGATTGTAGGTTGCATGCCCCATAATTATGTGGCCAACGTGCCCTAATTGTGGAATTCATGCTTTCCTCCATACCATGTTACACCACCGTACTCTATATATGATCCAATGGAATGAACTATGTTCCATGGTGTTGGTTGGTCAGTCGAACGTTCATGTTGGTTGGTTGAAGATGAACTACGCTTTTCATTGTCTGATGAAAAACCTTTGCTGGTTTGGTTGGAATGCCTATTTGATGTGTGCCTAGACATTTTTTTCTATGTTTTACACATGTATAATGATCCAAGAATTTGAAATGACTTGTGACATGACTTGTCATTGATGACGCAATGAGATGACTTTGCACTATTGAAATTATGACATGATAATGCCAAACATCTATTACATTATTAAAAAAACCTAAGTTGAGGTAAACACGTCAAAAGTCACACTGATTATAATAACAAAAGTACAAGATTAATTTACATTGATATGAGAAAGACACCACAATTTTGACACTGATTACATTTGTTAGTTCTCATCAGACATATAATCATCTGATAGATATTATTCATTAGACAAGACATTATTTTGCTCAACAGGTATCAACTCTCTTCCATATGCAGTTCTCACCATGTCTTTTGTTAGTTGGAACATATAATATCGACACCTACGTACCAACATCCTATTATTCTCTTTTTAGAAATGATTAACTTATGATTCATAGTCCACTCTATGCCTTCGTTGCATCATTAGTAAATGTCTATGTGGCAACGATATGTCAGGTAATCATAGCTATGTGTATAATACATATGATCCATTAGCATAAAACAATTACTCATGATGTAATCCTGCATAATACTCTTTTGGATTTGAATATCTCTCACTTTTATAATCATTATTTTGCTCTCTTAACAACCAACCCACTAGCGTGTGCAACTGTTTGAGCCTATAAATCCTCTTGATGTAGACATAATGTTCAATTTGTGTGATATCTACCATGTATAAGGTATTTATATAGTGGTTTCACCGAATGATTGTACACATTAAGGGTCTAGTCAATTCATATAATGTCTTTCTGAAAAGTTGGGCAAGAGACTGACTAAGAAGACCATAATTTGGTCACTTCAGTACATGGCTTGCTGGAATGAGTTTTAATGAGATGCATTTTTCTAGGCTCAACATTGCATCAACATTGCTCAGTCATATTAGTAGTATGTAGTCAATTCATCACTACATCATAATGTTTTGTCATATCATCAATATGGAGTCAATTCATCAATGTGACACATAAGCACATGCATCATATTCACTAAATAGTTAATGAGTAGTCACTTCATCAAATGGCATACTAAAAATCTCATCATGTCCCTATTCATATAGTGGTAAGGTTTATGGTATTCATGTAATACCATACTGTTCAGTCAATTAAAAAATGCAGTGTGTTGTGTTGAGAAAAACAGTGAAGAACATTGTTTAGTCATATCAGTAGTATTTACTAACTCCATCAATTCATTACAATGTTAAGTCATAGCACCAATATGTACAGAAAAATAGACCGTATGTAGTTACACAAACTGTTGCAATGTTACTATAAAAATGTGTATAAATGACTCATTGTATACACTTCATCTTGAACCATGAATTATAGTACACGAACGAGGTTTGAAAGTGTGGGTCATCATTAGGAGTTAGAGGATGATTTTTTTTATCCAATGAACCCCCGTTTATGTTATTTAGGCTAGGCCATAAACACAATGATGGATGAATGGAAACATCATTTGCGAAAAAAGGAAAAATCTAAGTGAAGATTTGTGCACTTGCAACATAAGAAGGCCTTTATAAATTTCCATTGATATTGCAATTGACACTCCTCAACAATTGGAACAAAGCATTAGTTCATTTTTGTGTTGAAAACAATTGTATGGAAATACATTTAAATCGATACAACATATGCTGCATCGCACGAGATCGTACTAAAGAAGGTTTGATAGAAGAGCCAGATTTATGCTTCCATTTGAGTGAGGAAGTAACCTGTATTTCTGATGTCGAGGTGTTGGATAAAACTGTAGACCCATGATCGAGAATAAGTGTTGTGCTACAAGTGTGTTGTATCACATAACCAATATTGTCATTGTAGTGATTACATTATGTTGTTTTCTTTTGTTTCTATTAAATGTGTTGTAGCGACAATGAGATTAATATGTATTTATTAATCAAATTATGTTGAAGTTGGTTTTATATGTTGCAGACAATATTGGCATAAAGGTATGTGGCAATAACAAGGTGAAAACCAGTATAATGACAATAATATGATGAATATATAGCATCATTGATAGGGTCAACGTCTACACATGCATAGAACATGTACAATACACAAAAATATGACATAAAAACTATGTGCCACATGCAAGCGATCTCATGCATTGCTTCGACCATCGCTGAGGCTCATGGTTAATATCATATTGTCCCTCTTGTGTCACCTGTAATAGCGACGTCATCGACACCATGTGGATGACATCCACAACCCCTGCCCTATCTTCGTCGTCTACGTCGAACTCTTGGTTTGGCTCTCTCATGACATCTACGTACAAGTGTGTCAACCCCTCCGCATATAACTCCTCATCCCGTGCAGGTCCATCAAGTATAATACGATCTGGTAAATCAGTGATCATCTGAAGGTGTCGTATGCAATGTGTGTGATGATTCCATTGTTGCATGAGATGGTGGATGTGCACAAATGGTAACATCTACAACTATAGGAGAAGCTGTCACTGCAACGGTAGGTGGCGCAACTACTAAGAGGACTAGTGTCGATGTGACATTTGTTATAGGTGGTGGTGTCGGTAGTAAATATATGGAAGGACTTGGTATAGGTACAGGTGTCGATGGCAGTGCTAGTGACAGAGGTGGTTGCTGATGTACTGATCTAGTTAGTGGTGGCAAAAATGCACAAGGAATATGAAAATCTACTATCGATGGTGGTGGTGCAAGAGGCGGAGGTGGAGGCGGTATAGTTGTATACTAACATCTGTAGTTGGTGGCTGTAAAGATGTAGAAGCAAAATCATGTGCTAAGACTGGAAATTCCACAACTCATTTCTGCTGAAGGACTACTGTCAACCACCCGGAGCTCATATCTTTAATATGCCCAAGAGTTTGTATGCAAAGTGTCAAATCTGGGCTGCTCTCATATGTAATCCTTGAAGTGTGGTATATCCTCTTGAAAGTTTCTTCTGACAAATAATAAAAAATAATTATATTTTAGTAAACAATAATACACGTATTTATTAGAAATACAATACTAAATTATTTCTGAAAAACTTACTAGTACCTCGATGATGTTGTCGACAGGATAAAACCAACAAAAGACCTACCAATCAGTGGATAAACTAGCTAACGAGTTATGTGTCGATACCATACCATATATGCATAAGTGGGACCAATCGGATCAATAACAACATCTCCTATGACAAGATGATCCTGACAGTGGGCCGACATGTCAATTTACGATTGATGAACAACATTCCAATCCCAATTTGCTTTGCCTTAACGATTTACACCATGTAGCACCCTATCAGTATCACAAGCATCTGGTATGGTCTGCATGAGATCAAATTGTCGCCTTATACAATTGGGAAAATTCCACCCTACTACAATAAAACAAATAAGTGGAGATCGTGTACGCCAAATATCTTGTTAAACTAGGCAGTAAGGAGGTAGATAACTCATGATATCAATAGTATATGGCTCCCATATTATCTGCAAAACTAAAGTCAAATTCTTTTTATTAAATTGATATATACTTTGGAAAAATTGGATAAAGTTTTTCCTATAAATAGGATATTGCCAAATTTTCAACCTGTATATAACTGTCCCAATACATACTCACAGTAAACAATCATTCGACCAACATCCACAAGTGCATTAAAAATCCAAATCTGATATAACCCCACAACACCCTCAATCCCCTAGGATATAAATTCCACATCAAGCTGACAATGGTCTTGATTCATCCTTGGGTGGAAATAAGTGTGAGGTTCTTCATACTTTATGTTCTCAAATATTTCATACTTTGCCTTGAAGCATGCACGTAGCCTTTACTTGCATCCACATTCTTGATGCATCTCTCACCTCAAAACCTTTGTAAAAACGCAAAAAAAATTTAATTTTAATTAAAGGGGTAAAATGATAATTAATTGTTAAAGCAAGGGTCAAAAATCTAAATTTTTATATAATTAGGATGATAAAATGGACCTCACCGTTGGATTCATCTCATGAAATTAGGCTAGCTAATCAATTTTTATTGAATTTCGAGATAGTCAAATTTTTGAGTGTTACGATGCGATCAAGTATTGCATGATTAAAATTCTGCAATCAGATTTTAATCGTGGAACCCATAATATAATTTAAATTAAATCTCTTACAAAATTATATTAAACATGGTATGTGGTGAAATGTAATTGGTTGGGATAAAATTCGACCAATAAGAAAGTGACACGTGACTCAATATGAGCCTAATATAAATAGAGATTTAAAGTGGAAGACTTAGTCTTCCAAGTACTTTTCTCCACATATTTCAACTCAGAGGGGCAGAGAGAGAGAGAGAGAGAGAGAGAGAGAAATGAGAGCTTCTCCATCTTCTTCTTCATTTCTTCATTCGATCTACAAAGATCCGTTCGATGAATCAAGTTGGGGCAAGAATTAAATTTGCTCACAACGACGAGGGCTACGCTCTAGTACTGACCAAGTCTGTTTTTGACACGTTGTGGAAGTTGGAGTTTTGGCTAGAGGTTGAACAAAGCATCGTTTGACATCATGAGTCGATACAAGAGGAAAAGTTTCCTCATATCGAGGTTTATTTCCAACCTACAATTGTATATAAAATTGGTATAGCCCTAAGTATGAACTTGTTTAAGCTAGACCACACCAAGTGTTATCAGGAGCTTGAAAATGAATATGAGAACTTATCAAACCCATTTTGAGTTGGACTTGGGTGATGTATGAAAATCGGCATAAAAGGTGAATCTATCGATAGGAGAGACATTACCTACCTGTAGGAAACTTATGTAGATTTGTTGTAGGTATACTATGTATTTACATTTCATGCTTTCTAAGTTTTAGTAAAATACTTAGGGTCCAAGAATGTTTGCTGACTTGTAACCATATATGACATGCTTGAGAATATTTAAGAAAATGGACATGTTTATTATATCTTTTATGATATATGATGAGCATGCTGATATGAATTGCAATTGCATATTGCATTTGCACAAGCACTAGTAACATTGCATTCATGGGCATCCAACATGAGTGTGAGTGTGTGTGCATGTTTTTAATCAAACATTTTACTTGGTGGGTTGATATGTGGGTTCAAAAAATTTGGACCTAGATTTGGCTGAGTTGCACGGGTTTGCATTGAAAAATGTGTTGAGATTAAAAATAAGGGCTAGATTCTTTCTCGGATGCAAGAGCCAACTATTTTGGATATGCTTTACCATTATTATTGAGTCCGTAAAGTACGTCAGTGTACGCAGAACTATAGGTGGAAGTTCTAAAATTTTGTGTCAGGTTGGGTAACCATTGGTGTAAGTCCATAAAATACCTACCTTAGAAAGACAGTCCATAACCGTTGGGTAACCATGGAATTGTAGCATTTAGTTATGAGATATATCTATTTGAATGAATGTTTAACATAATGTTTGCATGTAAAATTTCATATGCACGTGGGTTGAGAGGCAATCTTCATAGAAGATACCCTATTAAGCATGACTCACATTTTATAGATATATATTTTAGGTGTTGAGTAGGTGTCCATTGACGGCCCTAACTTGGGCCTGCATTAAGGATAGAGTCAAGTTGTGGCTCTTGATATGGATTTTTTTTGTAGTCCCTTGTATATAATTACATTTTGGCCTTGTATATTTTTAAGTGCAAAAATTGTATTTTATTGAAGACATGTAACTCTTATAAACATTGTTATTTTATGAATAAATGTATATTGTGATATTGGTATTCAATACTATATTGATTGAATATCGATGTTGGACCCGGTGTGATAATCTATATAATNTTTCTTCATTCGATCTACAAAGATCCGTTCGATGAATCAAGTTGGGGCAAGAATTAAATTTGCTCACAACGACGAGGGCTACGCTCTAGTACTGACCAAGTCTGTTTTTGACACGTTGTGGAAGTTGGAGTTTTGGCTAGAGGTTGAACAAAGCATCGTTTGACATCATGAGTCGATACAAGAGGAAAAGTTTCCTCATATCGAGGTTTATTTCCAACCTACAATTGTATATAAAATTGGTATAGCCCTAAGTATGAACTTGTTTAAGCTAGACCACACCAAGTGTTATCAGGAGCTTGAAAATGAATATGAGAACTTATCAAACCCATTTTGAGTTGGACTTGGGTGATGTATGAAAATCGGCATAAAAGGTGAATCTATCGATAGGAGAGACATTACCTACCTGTAGGAAACTTATGTAGATTTGTTGTAGGTATACTATGTATTTACATTTCATGCTTTCTAAGTTTTAGTAAAATACTTAGGGTCCAAGAATGTTTGCTGACTTGTAACCATATATGACATGCTTGAGAATATTTAAGAAAATGGACATGTTTATTATATCTTTTATGATATATGATGAGCATGCTGATATGAATTGCAATTGCATATTGCATTTGCACAAGCACTAGTAACATTGCATTCATGGGCATCCAACATGAGTGTGAGTGTGTGTGCATGTTTTTAATCAAACATTTTACTTGGTGGGTTGATATGTGGGTTCAAAAAATTTGGACCTAGATTTGGCTGAGTTGCACGGGTTTGCATTGAAAAATGTGTTGAGATTAAAAATAAGGGCTAGATTCTTTCTCGGATGCAAGAGCCAACTATTTTGGATATGCTTTACCATTATTATTGAGTCCGTAAAGTACGTCAGTGTACGCAGAACTATAGGTGGAAGTTCTAAAATTTTGTGTCAGGTTGGGTAACCATTGGTGTAAGTCCATAAAATACCTACCTTAGAAAGACAGTCCATAACCGTTGGGTAACCATGGAATTGTAGCATTTAGTTATGAGATATATCTATTTGAATGAATGTTTAACATAATGTTTGCATGTAAAATTTCATATGCACGTGGGTTGAGAGGCAATCTTCATAGAAGATACCCTATTAAGCATGACTCACATTTTATAGATATATATTTTAGGTGTTGAGTAGGTGTCCATTGACGGCCCTAACTTGGGCCTGCATTAAGGATAGAGTCAAGTTGTGGCTCTTGATATGGATTTTTTTTGTAGTCCCTTGTATATAATTACATTTTGGCCTTGTATATTTTTAAGTGCAAAAATTGTATTTTATTGAAGACATGTAACTCTTATAAACATTGTTATTTTATGAATAAATGTATATTGTGATATTGGTATTCAATACTATATTGATTGAATATCGATGTTGGACCCGGTGTGATAATCTATATAATAAAACAAAAGGGAGTTTGAAATTTTATATCCCATATATTTTTCCCCCAAACTTATCACTTCTCATACACTATATGTTAGATAGACAAGCGGTGAGTCACTTCCCCAAATCCATGTTAGAGACAGGCTATGAGACAAACACAACCACTTCAAACGTCTTCGATTTTTTGCCACAGCCACAGCCACAACCACTTCAAACTTCATTGCATCTCCAAACATCTCTTGCCACAGCCACAGCCTCTGAGTTCTTTGCTCCCATAGCCATCGCTAGAGCCACAACCACCGTCACTGAGTTCGCTGTAGCCCCAACCACTGCCATTGATAGGTAATCCCCCCATCTTTCTTTCCCCTGTGTTAAAAAAAACCTCCCCCCATCCCTATTTTGTGCAAGCACCATCCCCACCCCTCCCCTCTTTCTGTTTCTCCCTCCCCTCAATTGCCACCTCCTCTTTCTCGCTTGTGTATGCTAGACATCAACGCCACCAAATCTGGGGACAGCACCACTAACCCAGGCCCAACACAACACTCGTACACATCACCCACCCACATTCCTCACATCCCTAACCCACCCACACGCGCACACTACTCACCCACCCACACACGCACACTGCACATGAAGTGTTCTTCAAAATACCTAAGAAAAATACTGCCCCAAATGAACACTTGAAAATAAAAACCCCTAAAAATGTGCGTGTGTGATTATAGAAATCAACCATAAATCAATTTTTCCTTTCACTGTGGAATATTGAATACACCAACATCAAGCTTCCATTGTAGGCAAAACAATGGGTTGTTGCACATAAAATTTTATGCTTTCAAGCATGAGAATGTGGATACAAGCCTAAGGACTGTTATTGTCATTTCAAAGTAGAGGTTAGGCATTTTATTATGTAATGACCCTTCTCTTTCTAGATTTAACCATTGGTTGAGGGTTAGAGAATTTCAAGGTTTTGGTGCTTAGAATTGTTGTGGGATCCTCAAAGTAAAATTGCCTATGATGTTCACACACTGTACTGCGGATATTGACTTTATGTTGCCTTTAACTATTTATCTTTCACTCTTTAAAAGCTAGATAACATGTGTGTTTTATTTTTTCATAGATCTAATTCATGAAGTTAAAAGGAAACGTGATCGAAGAAAAGAGGTAAGATTGTTTTTTGAGTTGAGGATGTTCCTATAAGTTGTGCAGTTTATACCAAATTAATGCATTAGGTTTCTTATTATGTTTTGTGTGCCATAGTCTTTGAAAATGGATACAAGTTTCCTATTTTGAAATGGAATTAGTTACTAGACACATCAATGCTTTAATTCTCCACAGAATCTAGGAGCAAGGAACCTGGCTAATCATGCATGTAGTAGAGATGAGGAGAGGAAAACAATCATGATCATAGAAGGTGATTTGTAATTTTCTTAACAAGAGAACATAGAATACCATAGTTATGCACATACTGATGTTGAATGATGGCGTATTCTTACTGGGGCAAAGTAATGGAATGCTTAAACCAATGATGATCATAAGAGGTGGCCAGCTGATTCTCTGAACAAAAGAACATAGAATACCATACCTTTCCACAGCCCGCTTTTGGATGATTACATATTCTTAGTGAGGCTAAATAATGGCACACTTTTCCATAAGATCCCAAATGAGTGTTAGAAGTTTGTGTGATGACTTGTGTGTACGTTGGTGTTGACTCCCCAATTTGCAAGAGGTGGGAGTATCTTATTTCATAGTGTGTGTACTCTGAATTCAAATAAGAGTTCTATCATATCCGTGTAATTGCTATAAGGTGGCCATGTAATAAATTATTACCTTTTGCTACAATATGATTTGGAGTGTGGATAAAATTTTTAACTTGAGGATGTGTGTTAAGTTGTTCACACTTTCCTGTGAATGGCACAAGTCTTAACTACTGTATATATATATATAGTTGAGGATGTATGTATTTATAATTTTGAAATTATTCTTACAGGTGTTTTTGCATGATTGGTGGTTGAAAAGAAGCTTATTGTTGGGCTTACCTAAAATATAGGTAGTTACCTCACATCATTATTCTTAAAGATTTTTAAACTAGGTAGTTGCGGTATTGATTTTTTTTTTGCTTTTAGGTTTGTTTGCAATTTCCATGAATTATGTGTTGTGTATATAACAACTATAACCTCACAAAAACCTCAACAAGCAACCACATAAAAACCAGCAGCACAGTCGTAAACACACACACACACAACATAAACACACATAGCAAACACACACACATAGAGCACAACAACATTCAATTTGGGTTAATTATACCTCCTCCTCTCTCTCTCTCTATCTCTCTCTCTCTCCCTCTCCCTCTTTCATGACAAACAATTACAAACACACACATATAAACACCAACAGTCGCAAACACACACACACAAAAGTTGTGATGGAGAGAGATTATTTACAATGATGTGCAGATAAATGACCTATTTTGATAGACTAGATTAAAGAATGACCCATTTTTGCAAATTTACTATATATAATTATGTTTTGTGGTTATTCTTTAATCTTTTTTATGTTTAGGCACAACTATGGGTTTAATTTGCAATGGTACTATATGTTTAGGCATAACTATGAGTTTATGATGTGCAAAACAATGGTTATTATTGTTTTGATGCCTAAAGCAATTGGTAAATAGTCATGTGGAGGCATGACGATGGTTAATATTATGATTTTTGTTTTTAGTAATCAACATGCATATGACATGGTTTGGTTATGATTATAAAATATATAAGTTTTATAGATAGGTTGATATATTTGTGGTATCAGATTTTCAAAGAATACTCTGCTGAAAAATTAAAAAAAATTTATATTGATTTTAATTTCTCTCATCACAAGGTTTTTGAATTAAGCAAATTTTTTAGTGACCCAAAATGTATTTCTATACCTCTTGCTTGATTTTTGTTCATTCATTGAGATAGCGATTGATTTATAAGTCGTTTATGTCATTTTGTAATTCATAATAGTTTGTAATTGAAAAATTTTATGGGATTATTTCAAAATTTTAAGAATCTTATGTTCTATCTGTCACTTTTACAAGTATGGATATAATTGTTTGTGTAGGAAGAATTGTGTTGTGGTAATTGGTACATAGTTGGATATCAGTGTGCATATGACATGATTTGATTAAGATTATGAAATATATAAGTTTTGTAGACATATTGATATATTTGTGGCATCATATTTTTAGTGGATACTTTGACAAAAAATTGAAAGTTTCTTATAGAGTATCCACATTTTGACAGAGTATCCACATTTTGACTTTAGACATGTTATATAGAGCGAGTGTAGACTTTCAGTTTAGTACATGTTCGAGTTCAGTGTTTGATTATTTTACGTTCAAATTCAATGTTCGATTTTTTTTAGTTGTACCCTGCTTCAGGCATAGGTTATCCTTAATATGGTTATATAATTCACAGATGTGTGTGTGTTGGGTAGAGCTCCCCGTACAAGGGAGACTCTACCCGGTTCTTTATTAAGTTAAAGGACCCTGGTGAATGGGGCATCTCAACGTTTTATTGAGTTTTGCGGTATCACGGGTTATTGATCAACTGGTTGAGTAATGGCACCTGGGAATTAGGGTGCCACACTTTTTGTTTGTATCTACAACAATGTACTGATCATGCATCTTGAGTGAACACAATTTCACTACCATCTTCAATTCTTTTTTTTTCTTGAATACAAGACCTTGGACAATTCAGGTTTTGTTAGATCCCATGTTTTCAATTCATGCAACTTGAAAAATCTATCAACTTCATTCTGGGTACCTGAGTCAATGTTTGTGAAGATGTGTGACAGGGGCTTGTCCATGCGAATGTCAGCCTCGGGCTCAGCCAAATTTCCAATGCCATCATCATCATCAGAGTCAACCATCAATAAACCCTCATGCACTTCTTCTTCTTCAAAATCCTTATTGCGGTCATTAGCACACATTTCTTCATATGCAGGAGTACAAATCATTAAGTAATAGTCTCAACAACTAGTTTAGGTTCATTTTGTTTTTCCTCTTCACCCTTTACTACAAGGGCATATACCCCTCCAGTATCCTACTATCCTTTACATCTTCCTTAACGACAGGAATAATAAGAAAGGGTCTACTTTTTGGTTGGGGTGCTACGAGACAACTCTCTGACACAATAGGGAAAAGGACAGTCTTAACACCATGTTTTTATAAGGTCTAAGTGGTGTCTTTGCCTCTATGGACAACATTTAGATCATAGTGCCATGGTCTCTACAATAGAATATGATACACATCCAATTCCATAACATTAATATTGTCTTTATAGTTTTCAATTGAAATATGGATACGACATTGTTTTGTTACCTTAGTTTTGCCGAGGCTCTTAATCCACACGATAGTATAGGGAGAAGGGTGTTTCTCTGTCCGTAACTACAACTTGTTGACCTCTTTCTGGGATACAATATTGTCATTACTACCACCATCAATAATCAACTGAAAAACCCTCCAGTTCATGGTGCATGTGGTCCAAAAGATACTATGCCTCCGAATGTCTTGTTTGATCTTAGGAGTATACATCAATTGACGAACAACAAGGGAAATCCTCTTATCACCATATATCTACGCACTCTCATCCTCCTCCTCAAAAATCTCATCCTCTACCTTGCATTTCTCCTCTTGATTAGCTTCNCCTGCTTCAGGCATAGGTTATCCTTAATATGGTTATATAATTCACAGATGTGTGTGTGTTGGGTAGAGCTCCCCGTACAAGGGAGACTCTACCCGGTTCTTTATTAAGTTAAAGGACCCTGGTGAATGGGGCATCTCAACGTTTTATTGAGTTTTGCGGTATCACGGGTTATTGATCAACTGGTTGAGTAATGGCACCTGGGAATTAGGGTGCCACACTTTTTGTTTGTATCTACAACAATGTACTGATCATGCATCTTGAGTGAACACAATTTCACTACCATCTTCAATTCTTTTTTTTTCTTGAATACAAGACCTTGGACAATTCAGGTTTTGTTAGATCCCATGTTTTCAATTCATGCAACTTGAAAAATCTATCAACTTCATTCTGGGTACCTGAGTCAATGTTTGTGAAGATGTGTGACAGGGGCTTGTCCATGCGAATGTCAGCCTCGGGCTCAGCCAAATTTCCAATGCCATCATCATCATCAGAGTCAACCATCAATAAACCCTCATGCACTTCTTCTTCTTCAAAATCCTTATTGCGGTCATTAGCACACATTTCTTCATATGCAGGAGTACAAATCATTAAGTAATAGTCTCAACAACTAGTTTAGGTTCATTTTGTTTTTCCTCTTCACCCTTTACTACAAGGGCAT